ATTTAGTGCTAATTTTAGAAAGTTCACCATAGCCTACTCCATCTCAGAAAAATTTAGTTCACTACAAACCTCAGAAGCTCATTAAATGAAAAATAAATAATATAAAAAATCTAGCCCATCCGTATGAAAATTTCTAGTCCCGCCCTTAGTTGCAAGTTGCAACCTAAAAGACGGATTCAAAAAGAAACAAAAATGAAAATGGAACAACTTCGATGTCAAGGAAACATCATTTGTTGTTTGATTAAAGCATGATTCTCTGCCCATGAACCTATTGTTGTTTTTATGTTTCTTTGTAAGCCTACCTTGATATATAGTACGTAGGTACGATAATGCAAATTATGAGTATGATAAATTTTTTGTTCTTTTTGTATGCATTTATAAGCCATTATGGGTTTCACCATTATTTTAACATTAAAAAATAAATAAAAGAAAAGAGTCGATAATCATCAAGATCTCAAATCGTACTATATATCTACCCTTTTGGCAATATTGCTTTTGGTTTTTCTTCGACATAAAGAAAGATAACAGGATTGGGAATCCTGTGCGACCATGGGTGTGGTGTGGTTTATCAATTTTTTTGGCTAAAAACCCACTCAAGAATATGCATTCTGATTATTTCACTAAACTGGAAAACAATGCATCCGCTTGACTCAAATATACATGTTAAAGGGATTTCGAGCTCTTATATTTAGCTATCATGCGTATACGAGAAAATTAATTTTCGCGAAGTTAACTTTGTTGCTGATGCTCGGACTAATTTGGGACACCAATACCAACATCAACATATCTGAGCGGGCTATATACCTCATTTTGTTCAGTCAGCCTTGAGTTGGTTTTATAGAGTGGTGGTGTTTTAGAGCAGGGGCGGAGCTAGAATTGTAAAGTTGGAGGGGCCGAAATAGAAAATATAAGTATATAAAACACTTAAATATACAATACTTACATGTTTAGAGCTAAATATTTCTAATTAAGTCATATCTAATTTGTTTTAGAGGACATTTTAACTTCAATTCTAAGTTGTTTATCACAAATTCTATATATTATATATAATATAATAGAAGAGTGATAAAAATATGGGGGGGCCAGGGCCACTCCAGGTCTAGGAGTGGCTCCGCCACTGTTTTAGAGGCTCCTACCTTGTAGCTTCCTAATTTTCTTTTGCAGAAGAAAAAATATACATGTTGAATCGAGCTTAATACAAAAATAACCTAGAAATTGCTTAATATCACAAATTTTATTTCTCATCCGAAGTTACATAATTAATTACATTACGTAAAAAATGTGTGAGATGAACTGTAAATTTAGACGATTTAATTTCTCATTCTCGCCGTCGCGAAAATTGTTAAAAATAACCTATTAAGTGCTTGCATGTAATTGAGATTTAACTTGTATGTTTTTCTATATCGAGAAAGAATTAAAATGTGCGAGGAAGGAAAAAATAATTGGAAATTTTGTGTATAATGAAGTGAAAGAGAAGGTCACAAGGGTTATAAAAAACCAAGCGACAGATCAACAGATGATCGTATCTTCATCGTACGATGTATTATTCAGTGGAGCAACTAGTTACTAGTTTGTCCACACGTATCGGTACACTGCTGCAGCACAACATCACTCCCAAGACTTTGACTGGAGGCATACTCGCTCCGTGCTCAAGACAGCTGTCTTAGCTGATACAAACGATTGCCCTTGAAGGGCGATGAAATTACAGAAATAGGTCACAGCTGGGCACGCGCGGACGAGAGCAGACGAGGAGCGTTGGGTGAGAGTAGCAGATGACCAGAGGAGGCGGAGGCAGAGGCAGTCTGATTATCCAACGGGGAGGAGGAGGAGGAGGAGAGAGTACAGAGACTGCTGGCATTTGTGGTTAAAGGCTGACACAGAAGTTGACTCTTCTGTACGGAATGTCTAACTTATACAGGGACTTTTATATTGAATGAATTTTTATTCTTTATTTTTATATATATTTTATCAAATAGTTTTGGCATAAAAAATATATTTTTTAATAACATAGTAGGCAGGGAGAAGATGAGAATTTTATAGCTCAATTCTTGTAAATTGGTCCTCAATAATTTGTCATGCTACAGTTTGAAGTGTGACATTGACATTAGAGCAAAATATTGGTGTTGCTAACTTTATAGCAAGATTTCATTTAACTTATGCAAGTTCATCCTTGGGGATGTGACTTGTTTTTTTCTTTCTAACTTTATAGCAAGATTTCATTTAACTTATGCAAGTTCATCCTTGGGGATGTGACTTGTTTTTTTCTTTCTTGATACGGGGGATTGCTGTCCGATTTAATAAGAATAGTCTCGCGCCTGTCCCATTTGTCCGTTTTAATTGGAATAGTTGTCATGTCCAAGCTACGAAATGGGATTGATTTTGGTTATACTTGTTTGGTGTGTGCCACAAAATTACAAGAGGGGGTAGTCTTCCAAACCAACACCCCACGGAACAAGGCAACGCAAGTGAGGAGGAAGGACCAAACATCTCTTCTGCCCTTCACATACATCATATCATAGTATAACTTCATCTTCTTCCCTACGCCCTCACCGCTCCATAGGCTCTGTAGGAGATTAGATAAGTGGCCTGTCTTGCTTCCCACAAATTTTCAAAGCCTAACTTCATCCTGAATGATTTTGCTCTTTCTCAAGTAAACCCTCAAAGCCAACACTGCTCAGAAAGACTAGGCCAATTCTGAGAAGAGCAATCTAATAAGTTCCTCTCTCTCTCTCTCTCTCTCTCTCTCTCTCTCTCTCTCTCTCTCTCTCTCATCAATTCTTTATTTTTATTTTTATTTATATTATAAGCAGAAGCACACATACACAACGAAAACAGAGCATCCATACTGATTTCTATTTAGTCCAAGTAAAATTATGTTAGACTCCTAAAGTCTCTATCTGAAACCTCCAGCAAGGGGGCATTTGTGGCAGCTAATACTAAACATGACAAGTCCATTACATTTACCTTCACTTCTACTGGCAGCACACATGAAACTTCCACACAGCAGCCAGTGAACATATAAAACAAAATGGTCCTTGAACCAGACACCGATCTTTTTGGGCAAGGGGGAAGCACACTTGGCACTCAAAAGGAAAAACAAAGACAAAACATACAATAGGAAGCACTAGTGTGCGGGGATCCTGCAGAACCTGTCTTACCATTGATATTTCTAGTGGGGAAATGAGCACTATTATGACTAGTGTGCAAAGATTTAACATCATACAAGACTCGTGAATCCCTCAACATATAAACACAATCACTTTCCTATACATTTTCATCGGTACAATTGCATTTTTCCTATTCTGCAAGTGTCAAAACTCAAAATAGCGATGCAACGAGTTCAAACAGCCCTCAACAAGTAGTAACCACATATTAAAGCATGCAACAATTTCTAGCTTTTCCCCTTATAGAGGAAAATGCTGATTTTAAGAGAAGTTGTTTGCACAGAGCTACACTGGTGGGAAAATTATCAACACTAGTCTACACAGAGCTATGTTACTTACTAATGCTAGCCAGAGAGATTAATGTTCATTCCTTTATCCTTAGTTGGGAGGGGATGTGAGGTTACAATGGAATTGAATATCAATGCATCAAGCACAATTCACTTTGGTTTGTCTGTCAGGGTTACCAAAGACTTCATCACAGCCGGAGACACCTTGTCCGCAAGGAAACCTTTTTCTGAAATCAAAAGGGACTTTTCCTTCACAATGCTTTGTAGCTTTCTAGAATCGAAGTCAAGTTGTTCTTGTTCTGGATCCCAAGGGCAAAATTAAGTTTCAGAATCAGTTACTGAAAAATAATTAAATTAAAAACAATGTAACTAACACAATATATACATACATATAAGAAAACACAGATGACAACTCATGAATCCTGCGAGTTCATGAGCTATACTCACAACTTTAGATAGTAATGAGAGATAAAACAGCCATACAGCAATGTTCATCTCAAAACCCAACTGAATTCCTTTATGTATCCATTAACCAGTAGGAACAGTACGAGTAATAACCAGTTGGATTGAAAACTTTTC